CAGCATGATACTGTCTGCAAATATCTTAAGGTGGTCATATACAAAAGAAATGAAAAAAATTTGGAAGAGAGGGCTTCTAGAAGCATATCTCAGACCAGTGGGCAGAACTTATAATGAGGCACATTTTGGTTCAACATAAAGATATGTTCTATTAATTTACATTTATTTGGTCTATAAGCTTCACAAAGTACTTTCCTCATGATAACCTTTTTAGTAGGGAGTATAAGTATTAGTATTCCCATTTTAAGATGCAGAAATGAAGTTCAGAGAATAAAGTGACTGCCCAGGCTCATATGATTAGTAAGTATCTGAACCAGGACTTTAACTCAAAGTCCAGTGCCTTTTGATTGCATAATGTTGCCTCTCTACCACAAAAAAGAGCTGCTATGAGTATTTTAGTACATATGTGCTCTTTTCCTCTTTTTTTTTTCATCTGTTAGGCATAGACCAGTAGTGGCATCATTGCACCAAAGGTATGCATAGTTTAATAACTTTTTGGGCATAGCTCCAAATTGCTTTTCAGAATGGCTGGAATTGGCTAGTTCATAGTGCCAAAACAGTACATTAACATACTTGATTTCAACAATGTTTGTGAAATATGTCATTTTTATTTTTTTTCTAACTTTGCCAATCTAATGGGTATGAGGAAGAACCTTAGAGTTGTTTTAATTTGCATTTCTCTAATTATTAGTGTTTTAGAACACTTTTTAAATATGATTATTAATAGGTTAGATTTCTTCCTCTGAAAACTTCCTGTTTCTATCTCTTAACTGTTTATCAAACGGAAAATGGCTTCTATTCTTGTAAACTTGAATCAATTCCGTATGCATCTAAGAAATGAAGCCCTCTCCTCATTTATCTGATTCTTTTCTAATTTGGGCAGCTAGGTGGCACAATGGATAGCATGCTGGGCCTAGATTCAGGAAGACTCATTTCCCTGAGTTTAAATCTAGCCTTAGACACTTACTAGCTGTGTGACCCTGGGCAAGTCATTTAACTCTACCTCAGTTTCTTCATCTGTAAAATGAACTGGAGAGAGGAAATGGCAATTCCAATATCTTGCTAAGAAAACCCCAAATGAGGCCACGAAGAGTCAAACATGAAGAAAAATGACTGAACAGCAACTTCTAAGTTTGAATGCATTGATATGCAAAAACTTTCAAATTGTATGTAATCAAAATTGTCATTTGTACCTTTTGTGATCCTTTCTATTTCTTATTTGGTCATGAAATCTCATTTTATCCATAGATCTGACAGATAACGTCTTCACTGTTTCTCTAATTTGTTTATGATAAAATCTTTTATATGTCATGTATCTATTTACAACTTCTCTTGGTACATAGTATTAAGATGTTAGCCTAAACCTCCTTTACTAAATTGCTTTCAAATTTCCCAGTAGTTTTTGTTTAATACCAAGTTCTTGTCCTAATAGTTGAGATATTTGCATTTATCAAACATGAGGCTACTGTGCTCTTTTGCTTCTATATATTCTTTCTAATCAGTTCCACAGATCAGCTTTTCTATTTTTTTAAACCAGTATCAAATTGTTTAGATGAGTATTTCTTTATGATATGGTTTGAGATCTGGTAGTGCTTGGACCCCTTCTTTCCTACATTTTTTTCATTATTTCCCTTTAAACCTTGACCTTCTGCTGAGGTGTGGCGATTTCTCTTCCATTCCAATGGAATTCCAGTTTCTTGGGCAAGAGGCTACTGTACTCATGTCACATTTTAAAGTTTACACAGCACTTTATAATTCATTGTCTCAAGCCCCACCAAAAACATGTGAGGTTGGTACAACAGATGGCTTGATCTCCATTTAACAGATAAAGAAACTGAGACTCAGAGACATCAAGTGAATTCCATAGTACTTGTGAGGGTACTATTATGTTACCTAGGTCCACACCTTGGTGTTTTCTTTGACATCTTACTTGTGCTTACTCAGCATATTCGATAGTTCAGAAATCTAGTTGTACCAATTTCCACATCTCCCAAATATATGCCTTTTCCATTCACATAGCCACAGCCCTTGTTCCAGTCTTCATCATCTCTGGATTGTTGCAGTTGCCTTCTCACTCACCTCCCTGACTCAAGCCTTTCTTTACTCCAACACATCCTCCACACAGCTGCCAATGTAATTTTCCTAGAGTGCCAGCTCTGATCATGTCACCCTCTCCTCCTATCCAATAACCTACATTGGTTCTCAAATACAAATGGAGTCAAACATGAACTTCTCTGTTTGCCATTTAAAGCACTTGGCAACATTGTCTCTTCCTATTTTCATGCATTTCTTAAACATGCTCCCCCTCTAAGCACTCTGAGTTAGTCATATGGGCTAAATGTTTTGTTCCTCACTCACAATGTCCAGTCTGCTGCATCTGTGCCTTTGAAACATAACTGAAATATAGCCCCTCATTGACTCTACCTTTAGGATCCCTGGCTTTCTTCAACACAAAGCTCAAGTACTAATTCTTTAAGAGACTTTTGCCAGTCACATCACCCCCTCTCTCCTGTTGCTGCTAATGTTTTCCCTCTTGAATATATTTATTTATGCATTTGTTGTTTTCCCTTTTAGAATATAAGGTCCTTTGCAGCCAAAGTGTGTTTCCACTTTTATTTTTTGGTATCTCCAGCATTTAGTCTAGTGCCTGGTAAACAATGAATAAATGCTTGTTGATGGTTTGATTCCTCACGACCACACAGTCAGAGGTGAGATCTGTACCCAGGTAGCAGGATCTATAGAAATATCACTGGGTCCAAAGTCAATGACCTGGGTTCAAATCCAACTTGAACTCAATTAGTGAGCCAGCTTTAACTTGTTTTTGCTAGGGAGCCAATTGTTAAGTTTTCAGTATGAGTATTTATGCCTCAGAAATGGGCAAATGCTACAAAACCAGGCTTGATTTGTTTTGTTGATTTCCAGACTTAAGAAACCAATGGGGAAAATGTTAGTTATGCAAATTAAACATAAAAAGTGTGTCATAGGTATATTTCTCCAAAGCACCTACTGTTAAACATTTGCCCACAAGCACACTGTTATCCAAATCCCACCGTCTCTTGCACCCTATACAGCCTTGACAAGCCACTTATTAAAAAGCTTTGGACTAAATGAACTCTGAGGTCCTTTCCAGCTTTATAATTCTATGACTCTCAATCTAGCTCTATGGACTCTATCCACCATGCCCGATCCTCTCCATTCTGCTCCAATGGAAAAAGAACACTCCAACGTCGGCAATTTGCTTGCTCTAAAATGACAGAGAATGTTGCAAAACATAAAATTATCCAATCCAGCCGATTACACAGTCACAAAGCAAAAGCTGACATATTAATGAGGGAGGTCGCTGAAACCCAGGAGGGCTGGACATTTATGAAAGATGTTGACAGAGAAAATGCTGACAGTCAGTTGGCAGAGAATCAGAGTCAATGTTAGAGCTAAGCAAATACATGCTGTGTCACAGTCCTCTATATGAAGGGACGACCATCCAACTTTTCAAGTGGAAAGAAGACCAACCCTTACCTCCAGAACCATCGAAGCCTGCAAATTTCAGGTAGAGAACTCTCTTATTCTGATCACTTCTCCATAGCCCATTGCTTGAAATGGACGATGGCTTTTTGTTTTGTTTTGTTTTTAACTCGATAAAGCGATGGTTTGATTCTAAATCACTGCATATTTAGGAAGCCAAAATGAGCCAAGTGTAAGTGGGAAGATGGCATATAACTCATCTTTTTAAATAAAATGTGTTTTTGTTCATTCCAAACTTGTCATTAAATAAATTGCGCATTTTCATATACGAAGTAGAACAGATAAAGAGGATTGTATATGAAACTGCAAATCTCTACTATGTGTGTGGAAATCATTTTAAAGCTCCCATCGATACGATTAAAAATCAAGCCTGGGCAGAAGTCACCTAAGCTGTTTCCTCACTATGAGATCACAAGATCTATTACTGATAAATAATAGGTATAAACAGTTACATGATAATATATATATATGTATATATAAAATATACATTATATAGATTTCTCTCTCCATACATACATACATACATACATACATACATATATATGTATATATATATATATATATATATATATACACATTTCCTTCTGTCTCCTCCTTTTCTAAGCTGTTTCCTCACTATGAGATCACAAGATCTATTACTGATAAATAATAAGTATAAAAGTTACATGATAATATATATATGTATATATAAATATACATATATGATTTCTCTCTCCATATATACATATACATATATATACATATATGTATATATATATATACACACACACACACACACACTTTCTCTGTCCTCCTCCCTTCCCACAATATAATCTAAAGCTATATGATATAGCTATATCTAATATATATGTATTATAACATCTATATACTATGGATACTATGATATAATATACATAATTTTTGTTAATTATTTATGTCATTTTATATATATATTTTATAATTTAACATTGTAATATTTTATTTAATGTTTTACAATATTATACAATGTAATATAATGTAGCTAGAGCTAATGTAGAAAAGCTAAATGTAGACATAGATATAGAATATATATGGATATAGAATATAGCTATGGTTTAGATATTGGGAAGTAGGACCTAAAATGTCTTCAGAACATGAAACTAAGAAGTGGGAGGAGGGGGCTGCTATCAAGTTAAGTCAATGAGCATTTCTAGTACTACATGTGTCTGGCATGGTGCAAGAACTGGGAGTTGTTAGCTGCTGTTATACTCCATGTTTTTTCAACGTGCACTGATTTTTTTTCCCAAGTGATAATCACATAAAATTACTGCTCAGTCTTCTCAATACTGAGATTCTGTGCTCAGAATTCATATAACATCTATCAATGGGGAAGGATAAACAACCAATCATTGATTTGTTAGATTACTTGTCACCATAACTCCAGGTCATGATTTCTTGGGAGATATCCTAGCTTAGACTTGTTTATGTATTTTAATCATTTTAGGATGGATTCCATGCCAAGCAGTTTATTTCCTTTTTCTTTGCTACGGTGACCAGTGGTAAGTTCAGCTTTAACATCTATCTTATCCAAAGAGAATTTTACTGTCCTTGTTTTTATCATGAACAGGGGAGGGACCAGAAGTACGAGTCAGATTGGAGGGAAGGTCGTTGATCCAGAAACTAGACTTTGAAAAGAATAAACAATATAGCTTCAAAACAAAAACAGAACTATACTTGCAGAGCTATACTATTTTTAGGAGTCTAAGTTCAAATTTTACCTCTGATGCTTCTACCTGTGTGACTTGGATAATCACCAACTTCTCTTGGCCTTGGTTTCTTCATCTATAAATGGATAGATATTCATAGCTTAGATGACTTTTGAGATCCCTTCTAGATCTACATCTCTGAAAGATGAGCATTATTTTTACTACTAGAAGGTGCAATTTGAATCTGACTATACTGAGTAGTCCAACAACATCTGTCTCTCAGGGAATAAGAATAATAAGATCTTGGTGATCTATGTTGTCACATGGATACTCTCTCAGTTACTCATATACCCTTTATGTTTCCTGTGAAATTCTTATCTGTGTTGGAGGGCTTCCTCTCAATTTCATCTGTTGTCTGTCTGTCTCTCTTCTCTGTCTCTTGTGTCTCTGTCTCTGTCTGTTTCTTGTTCTGTCTCTGTCTCTCTGTCCTCTCTCATGTCAGACATTCCAATGTGCCACTTTAATTGTTTATATCATCCTTTAACACGACCAATGTGTTATTCCACTACTCAATAAATTCCAGTGGCTCCCCATTCCCTATATCAAATGCATCTCTTCTATGAAACATTTGAAGTTCTTTACAATCTGATTCCAACTTACTTTCCAGAGTCACTCCATATGATCCCCTTCATGCACACTATGGTAAGCCAAAGTCCTTTTGCGTTCTCACATAATTTCCATTTCCTTTTCCATGCCTTTGCCCAACTATTTCACATACTGTAATATCTCTCTGCACCCTCACTTCTCAGAGTTTAGTTTTCTTCAGAATTCAGATTTACGTCTTTCCTGATCACTCTGGCTGCTAGTATTTCAACCTCCTTCTCACACCCAAAAAAAATACTTTGCATTTATTTTGAATATGTTTTGTACATGCCTCTCCAGTAGGATGTAAACACCTTAAGGTGTTTATATTTGATCTCTGGTGCCTAGCACAGTGCCTGCACTGTGCCTAATAAATGCTTGTGGATTGACTGACTGAAAGTCACCTGTCTTACCCGCCCTACTCCATGTTTGGTCATTTCATGAGCACACTTCGAGATGTTGGTGGATGAATGGACATATATTCTCCATGGATCTTTAGGAGTTATGCACAGATAATTTTGTCCTAAGAAATTTTGGGTGTGTGTGTGTGTGTGTGTGTGTACTTGGTCATTGTTTGGACCTGGTTGAGTCAGAGTGAATGTAATAAAATTGTTTCTGTTTTGGCCAAAAACCTGAGGGTCTTCCTTACCTGTTTGATTTTTTTTTCTGGACTAGGTTAAGAGGCCATTCTTTGACTCACTTTTTTTTTTACTAGTCTTTATCACTGAATGGGCATCGCCAATCAAACTGAGACCTTAGCTTTTAAAGACGGGTCTTCCACTGCATCTGGGGCCATCTCCAGTTGTCCTGATATATATCTGGCCGCTGGACCCAGATGGCTCCAGAGGAAAAGTGAGGCTGGTGATTTTGCGCAGCCCTCCCTCACTCAAATCCAATTCACTTGCAAGTCATGGCATCATCTTCCTGATGTCCTGGCCTTCTTTGAGAATAAAGGACAAACAACACAACAACCTGTGTGTATATGTATACACGTACACATGTACCTACACACACATATCTCTTATTTGGTTACTTCAGCCACTGTGAGAAATCATAACTCATTCTAGTACTCTATGCAAATTTGGTTAAGCAGATGATTCCTAGCATATGGGGACCTGCCATCAATTGTTAGATTAGGTGGAGGGAAATTCTTGGGTCTTTTGATCTAATTCAATAATCATTTGTTCAAGTACCTGTTACTGTAATTGCTAGGTACCATATTAAATGGCAAAAACCATTTTTACTGGTATATACAACAGAGATATCAGCAAGGAAGATATACCACAAGATAATTTGAAAGAAAGAGAACCTCAGGGGTGAGCTGGAGCCAGCTGGACTGATTGTTAAATTTTTGTAGTGAGCATTCATACCTCAGAAATCGACAAATACTACAAACCAGGACTTGGTTTATTGTTTTAGTGATTGACTAGACTTAAGAAAGTAATGGAGAAAATGTTAATAAAGCAGATTCAACTGAAAAGTGTGTACTGTCTATATATATTTTTTTCTTTTGGAGGACTGGTTGTTAAACATTTACGAGCTCACCCCTGAGGACACTAATAACTTGGGGGACTGAATAAGGCTTTCCCTGGAGATGGTACCTCATCAGAGCCTTAAGGGAAGCTGAGGATTCTGAGGTGAAGATAAGAAGGGGGTGCATTCCAGGGAAGGTGAAGAGACATGGAGATGGGGAGCAAAATGATGAGCTCATAGAACATGGCATAGTCATTAGAGTGTTGAACCTGGAGAAGGGAAGATTTCCCTTCAATTACTCTCAGACACTTTGCTCACTTGTTTTATTGTGTTGACTCTTTGTGACCCATTTGGGGTTTCCTTGGCAGAGACACTGGAGTGATTTATTTAGCATTGCCTTCCCCAGCTCATTTTACAGATGGGGAAACTGAGGCAGAGTTAAGTGACTTGTGCAGGGTCACACAGCTAGCAAGTGTCTGAGGCTAGATTTGAACTCAGGAAGAGGAATCTTCCATCTCCAGGCTGGGCACTCTATCCGCTTCACCACCTAGTTGCCCCTCAGACTAGAACCCTGGGCAAGTCACTGAACCCCTATCAGCCTCAGTTTCCTCATCTGCAAAATGAGAATAATAATAGCATTAACCTTCCAGGATTGTTATGAGGATCAAATGACATACTATGTATAAGAAGGCACTATATAAATGCTAATTATTATTAGGACAATTTGGTTGCAAACAGGAGATTGTGAGGGTAGTGTTATGAAAGAAGTCTGGACAGATGGGTGGGAGTCTAATAATAATAACAACAATAATAATAGTTATGTGTCAGGTGCTTTACAAATGTGATCTCATTTGATCTTTGCAATAACTCTGGGAGGTAGGTGGTATTATTATCATCCTTATTTTATGGGGGCTAGCAGAGGTTAAATGATTTGCCCAAGGTCACCCAGCTGGTAGGGTCTGAGGCCACATTTGAACTCAGGTCTTTTTGACTGTAAGGTCTGTGTTGTCTCACTGCTAAATGCCTTCATTCTATCTAGGGAATTAGAGCTGTATCTTAATTCGGATTCTGGTGAGGGGAAGGGATTGCTAAGAATGGAGAGGGGGGTCAGGAGATAATGTTGGGGGAAAAGGTAAATAAGAAGGCACTCTTGAGCACATCCCTTGCCAGCCGTGCAGGATCAACATTCTCCTCTGATTCTATTACAGAGTGTGTGACTCGGTTTTATGAAAACACCTTCTTTAAAGGAGGAGATGTGGGTGCGGTACACACCCCAACTGCTGAGGACTGCCAGAGAGCATGCACCTTCCATCCCAGTTGTATACTGTTTAGCTTTCTACCTGCAAATGCCATTAATGATGAGAACAAAAGGTAAAGCTTGGTATGCATTATCAGAGAAACTGATCCCCCTTCCCCCCCCCCCGACCCCTGCCCGATGATGCTCATTGGTTTTGGAGTCTGAGTCCTTGGGTTCAGATAGCGGCTCTACCACTTCTGCGTCTACACGTGTGACCTTGGGCAAGTTACTTAGCCTCTCTCTGCCTCAGTATCCTTATCTGTAAAATGAAGAAGTTAGACTAGATCAGATTCCCCACCCCTGGGATGACCTATGGTGTCTCTTAGAACTCTAAGTCTATGATGCTATGAAAAGATGTATATTTTCATTCCAGAGACAGCTTCCTCTGCAATGCAAATCTTAGCCCTTAATTTTGCCATGTTCCTCCAAAAACAGATGAGCCAAGAAAACACATGGTAGGACAAAGAAGGAGATAAGCATTTATATAGCACCTACTATGTGTCAGACACTGTTCTAGCATTTTATCTCATTGACAAAGCTATGTGGTAGATAGCCTAGTCACTTAGCTGAATTCACTGATCTTAACCTAGGATGAACCTTGGACTATAGCTACAGTCAGTCATTCAATCTTTCCTTCTTTCATTTTTGATTTATGTCCCAAGTATTAGATAGACATTTAATAAAGGCTTATTGATTGATTATTTTTAAAGCTGCTATAACTTTGCCACAATACTTATTAAGTGCTTACTCATTAGTGTCAGGCCCTGCAGATTCAAAGACAGGCAGAACAAACAAACAAAAACAGTCCCCACCTACAAGGAGCTCATATTCTAATGGGGGAGGGGGTGACTAATAGGCACAAAATTTTACATACAGAGTACATGCAATGTAAATGGAAAGTAAACCCATAAGTGAGGCACTAGCATTTGGTGGGGGGGGGTGCCTAGAAAGGCCTCTTAAATAAGAGGGAATATAAGTTGAGTCTTGAAGGAAAAACTACAGTAGCTAGAAAGGAGAGCATTTTAGGCATGGGGAATATTCAGTACAAATGGTACAAAGATGGAGTGCTGTGCTCAAGAAACAGCATGAAGGCCAGTGCTGCTGGATTGCAGAGTTTGTGGGAGTAAGTGATAGGAGACTGGAAAAGTAGGGAGAGCATAGGTTGGCAGGTTACATGCCAAACAAAGGATTTCAGATTTGATCTTGGAGATAATAGGATGCCACTGGAATTTGCTGAGTAAGAGAGTCATCTAGTGTGAGACAGAGGAGCCAACCACACTTTTGCAGTATTCTAGAAAAAAGGTGATGGGGGTTTGAGTCAAGGTGGCAGCAATGTGAGTGTAGAGAAGGAGGCTTATATGAGAGGTATTGTGAAGATTGAGATGAGAAAAATTGGCAATAGATCTGGTGAGTGGTGGTGGAGTGAGTGTAACCAAGTTGCTGAGAATGACTCTGAAGTAATGGGAGAATAGTGATATCATTGACAAGAATAGGAAATAGGGAAGAAATGAGGTTTTGATGAGATTAATAGTGAGTTCTGCTTTGGACATGTTGAGTTGAGATGTCTGTAGGACAACCAGCTCAAGATACTCAAGAAGAATTTGGACTGATGCTTGGGAGAAAGGTTAGGACTGGATATATGGATCTAAGAATCATCTACCTAGGGCTGATGTTGAACCCATGAGGACAGAAGAGATCACCAAGCAGAATAGTATAAAAGGAGAAGAGGACATAGGACACAGTCTTCTCGTGGTTAGTAGACATGACTTCAGAGAAAGATCCAGCAAAGAAGACTAAGAAGTGGGAAGATAGAGAGTAATGTCACAAAAACCTAGAGAATGAAGAGTATGTAGAAGGAGAGGGTGCTCAATAGTGTTAAATCTGGAGAAGGGCAGAAGAAGGAATCACCCTTTATTGAGAAAAGACCCTCAAATGCCCAGATTACCTCCATGCCATTATGAGATCTCAGCCTAAGACTGATCTCAGCCTAAGACTTTAGTGGATGGATCCTTTTCAACATCTGACAAATATTCATAAGGTAGCATAGTGTCATGGATAGAAAGCTGGTCTCAGAGCCAGAAAGACCTGGGTTCAACACTTGCTTTTGACACATACCAACTGGATAACTCTGAACAAGTCCCTTAAGCCACTGTGTCCTAAGCAACTCTAGAAGACTACATATACGTTGCAAAAATGGAGCAAGCTTGCATGGGTAGAAGAGGCTCCCTCTATCAATGAAATTCTGGTTTCAATCCCCATCTGCATTTATATCTTTAATAATTCATAAGCAAGTCATTAAATGGAGAGGAACAATAGGTGTCCCCCACTCAAGTGCTACTCAGAGACTTCATCATGGTTTGGAGATGACTCTAGGTTCTTGAAGCCTATGGGAATAGAATGCAAGTTCTGGTAGGTCCTAAGAATGTGGAAAGTCTTTGAATATTAGTCCAGTGCTAAAATGTGTGTTTGGAGGCTGGGACCCTTCTAAGCTCAGAGATGCCTGTCACTTATCAATTGACCACAAGGTAATGCTTTTTTGGGGCCACAACACTTGAGATTCAAATTTTCACAATCTTTAGCTTTTGCTATGCTTGCTGTCTACTCTGATCTTATGTTGGATGATCTGGTTTACCTCATTAATCTTTGATTTTCAAACATAAAATTTTAGACTCTAATTAAGGGCTTTTTCCCTGTGCCAGATGGGTCATGATCTGTGTGAGTAGAAAGCCCAAAGTGATGAAATCACGTATCTTTGGAAGTGTTGAAGCAAAGTTGTCAGAGCCCTTTGCCATCCCTTCAGTCAGGAAAGACCTTATGTTCCACCTCTCTTGTATTGTGTCGCTCTAATCAATCAATTCAATTGATCAATAAACATTTGTTAAGCACCTACCATGTGCCAGGCACTGTGTTAAATGCTGGGAATAGAAAAAGAGGCAACAGACAGTCCTTGCCCTCATGGAGCTTACAATCTAAGGGAGGAGACAACATACAAATATACAATTATAGAAGTAATTGATCAATGTTTATTTTTTAAGTACTTAATTGACTAGATGTCAATCATTGGTCTAAGTGCTGGGAATGCAAAGAAGAAGAAAAAAAGAAGAAAAACAGTATTTAGTATGTGTTATTGTTCATTACAGTTATCTGTATATAGGCTATTTCTCCCTGCTTGACTATATGCTCCAGGAAGGTGGGGACCGTGCCTTCTCTCAACTTTGTTATATCCTCTAGTGAAGTGTTCTGACCTCAATGGCTTACTGAACAGAATTAAAACGAAAAGAATGTTACTTTCTGGCAAATGTCCTTTTTTGGTCAGTGTCAGAAAAGGTGTAATGGATTTGCTGTCCATTAAAAATGTTTTAAAATACCCAAATTCAAGGTATTTTATAAAGGACATATGAAGAAAGATGTCATCTACATCCAGAGTAAGAACTGATAAATAAAAGTGCATATAGAACAATTTTACATATGTGTATATAAATATACATATATGTATATATACATATACACATAGTTGTGCCTAATGGTAGCCATCTTGGGGTGGGTGAAGAAAAAAAAGAAAAAAAAAGAAATGGACATGATAATTTTGTTGTGTATTTGAAAGGAATAGCAAGTTGTGCCTAGTAGATTTTCAGTTTCACATGCAATCATCTTTTTTATTGTATTATGTTATGCAAAGGTTATTTTATTCTATAAATTAAATATAAAATAAATCTTTTAAAACAAATTAATTAAAGGTAAGTTAGTAGTTTTAAATGTGTTGATAGTTATATAGATATAATAATTGATAAAATTATAAAATATTTGTTCACATACTTACCCATTTTCATTAAGTGATGCTCTCCTTTCCCACAGATTCGGTTGCTTCTTAAAAGACAGTGTTACTGGAACTCTTCCAACAATTACTAGGACAAATACAATTTCTGGGCATTCCTTAAAACAATGTGTTTATCAAAGAAGTGGTAAGTTGTAGTTTACTTGTTTCAATTTGTATAATTTAGTTATAACATGCTTTACCTAGTCTTTCTTCCTTTTTTTCTTTCCTTCCTTCCTTTCTTCCTTTCCTTCCTTCCTTCCTTCCTTCCTTCCTTCCTTCCTTCCTTCCTTCCTTCCTTCCTTCCTTCCTTCCTTCCTTTCTTCCTCCCTCCCTCCTTCTCTCTCTCTCTCTCTCTCTCTCTCTCTCTCTCTCTCTCTCTCTCTTCTCTCTTTCTCTCTCTCTCCTTTTCTCTCTGTCCTTTTGTTTCTGTCTCTCTGTCTCTTTCTTTTCTTGCCAGTTGGCTATGGAGCCTCCATACATTTGTGGAAGGCAGTCCCCCTGAGAGTTTCTTTTTTTATTTTGAATAGATTTTTGTGATACTATTTGTTATAACGTTACGTACATTTCCGATCTATCCCTGCCATCCCTTATAATAAAGAATTTAAAAAGGAAAAAAGTCAACAAGACCAATCAACACATCAAAAAATAATATTACATGCAATTTAACTCAGTCAAGAAATATTTATCAAGCACTTACTATGTTCAATGCATTGTACTAAGTTCTGAGGATACAAGGAAAGACAAAAGATGATCCCTGACATCAATGAGTTCATATCTAATATTCTATACTTGTAGACTCCTATATCTGCAAAGAAGAGGAGAAGGAGGTATTCTTTGGGGAAATATATTCCAGTGGATAAAACACCATGTGGTTTTGTTTAGATTTCTTTTCTTCTACTTCCCATAGAGAGTAGATGGATCCTCTAGGAATTCTCTATGGTGACTAGTGATATAGAAGTCAATCAATTTCTAACTAGAATTGAGCACAGATTATGTTTGAGACACTGTTCCAGGCATGGTAATGTTCTCCAAAGCCACAGGGATAACACTGATGGATAGGTATCTAGCTAAGGAATATTTATCCAGTTTTAGACCTTGGTCACACAGTCACTATATGGCAGAGCTGGGACTTAAACCCACATCTTCCTGACTCTGATAGCTCTCTCTTATACTATACCATAGCTGCCTCCCCCATTTTAGAGACGAAGAAGGGACCAGCTTAGAGTCACACAGCTAGTAAGATTCATTACTTACTAGTAACGAAAATGTCAAATACAAATAGATTACATGGAGCAATTAAAAGAAGAGGTTTTAAATGCACAAATTAAAAGTAAAGGGAATTTGTAGAAAGACGCTATCTGCATCCAGAGAAAAAGCTGATAAATAGAAGTATGGCTAGAATAATTTCACACACACACATACATATATATGCACACACACATACATATATACAATACATATATATATATATATATACACAGATAAATATACATATACATACACACACACACATGTGCCTATTTGTGTCTCGTGGGAGCCCTCTCTAGCATGGAGGAGGGAGGAAAAAAGAAAAAAAAGAAATTTATGTGATAACTTTGTGTATGTTTGGAGAGAATAGCAAGCCCTACATGGTAGATTTGCAGTTTCATGTGCAATCATCTTTTTTATTGAGCTGTATTGTGGGAATGCTTGTTTTGTTCCATGAATTGAAAATAAAATTAGAAAAAGAAGAGATTTTCCTAATGGTGTGTTAAAGATGAAATACTTTCTTTCAGGGCCATTGATTAAAGGGGTTACATTATTCCAGTCAGGAAACCACATTAGTTCTGTTTGTTATGTTTCTACAGCTTGTAGCAAGGAGAACCATGAAGGACTTGATATGAGAGGGGTGAATTTCAATGTAACCAAGGTGAACACTGTTGAAGAATGTCAAAAACAATGTACAAACCATGCCCTCTGCCAATTTTACACATATGCCACGCAGACGTTCCACAGATTGGAGTATCGGTGAGCAGCAATCTTCCTTGAAGATTCTGTTAAGGATTTTAATTTAAGCCTCAAGTAACTCTTTTTCAAATCCAAATGAAGGCCATTCCAATCTCACTTTTCTTCTTGGGATTCCTTGAAACAGCAGCTATCTTTGTGGGGGGGCTAAGTCCTGATGAGGATGGGATCTCCCATGGGAGACAGTGAAGTCAACAACGGCATAGAGGGAATTTATATTTTCATAAGTGTTGAAGCTAAATGGTCAAGCATGGTTCATTGCCGGGCCTGAAAGCATTCCAGTCTTCTCATCATCCAAGGAATGTCCATTTTAGAATTCTATTCTAGTTGATGGGTTTGCTATGCCACATTGGATAGAAAATTCCCAAGAGTCAAGACAAGACAAGTTAACAAGCACCTGCTAAGTGCTAGGGACACAAAAACTTGTCCCTGTCCTCAAGAAGCTCACAGTCTATTGGAGGAAATACTATGCAAACAGCTATGAACAAACAAGATATAGAGAGCATAAATTATAGATGATAAGAGAGAGAAGGGCCCAGCATGAAGGGGGATTTGGAAACAAGAAAACTTAACAATGAAGACAACTCAGAATAAGTCCCTTCCTTCAAGGAGTTTGTGTTCTACATAACCATTGCAAAATATTTTTCATCTCGATTGATTCTCACAGCAACCCTGTGAAATGGGCAGCATAAATATGTGTCATCCCACTTGACATCCTGCTTGGAAAAACTGAGGGGCACCAGAGTAAAGTGAATTTCCTAAGACTGCTCATCTATTATGTATTAGAGCCAAGACTCAAGCCCAGGTGTCTGGAGTCTCAGCTAAAGACTCTTTCAAACACAAAAGATGATTTTTCTTCTCTCTTTCAGGCTAGGCACAGGCTCTGTTCAAGGCAGTGTTCTAGGCATGGTAATGCTATTAAAGGTATCAGTGATTTCTGATTGTAGCTTAGTCCAGTTTTTACATGTCATGAAACTATGTGTGTAAAGGTGGGGCCTGACCCTAAAACTTTTCCTAGTCTATCTATTTCTTGTTTCTTTCCCCGAATCCATCCATGTTATGGTTTCCAAATGCTTCATCTCTCATTGTATTATTGCCAAGATCATGTTATTGCCGTGATCATCTTTATTGTAATTTTCTTTGGGGATTTGCCAAGGGAGGAGAATCAAACCATGTTACAGGTGGAAGTGTGAATTGCACTGCTGAACATAGCTTACTTCATTTTGTGACAACATTCAGAATGCAAAGAACAGATACCGAGCAAAATCATCAATGAGCTTCCTTTCCTTCTTGCTCAGAAACACATGTCTGCTGAAGCACAGCCAGTCAGGATTCCCTGATACGATCAAGATGGTGGAAGGCTTGGTGTCAGGATTCTCCCTGAAGCCCTGTGGACTTTCTGATATGGGTAATTACTTATATAGCCACCATTCCACACGATTTCTTGTGCAGAAAACAAGGAACACTTGGACAGAGCTTATGCCTAATGTGGCAGAGAATAAAGATTCCTGTAACTTGGACTAATGGAACTCTGTCTCCTGGGATGGATGGATAATTCACCTGGTATTATTGAGAGGATTATCTCGAATGCTCATTTTAATTCATGTATCTATAGATAGCATTAATTATGGTAACATTATTAAAACCAGAGAAGCTGCAGCAAGGCCAGGGGGCTGTCTCCCTGTTTCATCAGCCCTCATTCAATATCTTCTCACTGATCCCTCTTTTCCCAAGACAATCCTCTCTGGCCCCCAAATTGCCTGGAATGTCCTCTCAATTTCCCACCTACTGTCAAAACTTCCTATCCCCAGTAAGTGATAATGCATTAGCACAAATTCTGATACTACTGACAAATAGAATGCATGAAATAGGTTTTCAGCATCATTGTAGATTTAGAGCTATAAGGGACCCCAGAAGTCATCTAGTTGAATCCTCTCATTTTACGATTATGGAAACTGAGTTCCAAGAGGCTAAGTGATTTACCTGAGGTCACACAGATGAGTAAGTAGCACACCCAGTATTTGAACCCATATCTTCTGTCTCCAGATGCAATCCTCATTCCTTTGCACCACATGGTGCTTTTAAGGTGTGATACTGATGTACCCCAAGGGAATCTGGGATGCAAGAGGTTAACTAGGCTGATGCTAGGCAGAAGAAGGGGTAGGGCACAGGTCAGAGGATCTGGGGAAGTAGATGTCAGTAAGAAGAATACCTTGTTCATTTAGTATACTATATTTTCCATAGTAGACAGGAGGAAGGTCTGTTTACTAGTACTGGTAGAAAACACAACTCAACCTAGGAGCTAGGCTGTTTGTTTATTAGGGTGTTTTGTTGTTGTTTTTTTTTTTTGGCTAGGCAACGGGGTTAAGTGACTTGCCTAGGGTCACACAGCTAGTAAGTATTATGTGTCTGAGGCCAGATTTGAACTCAGGTCCTCCTGAATCCACTGTGTTGCCTAGCTGCCTCCTTTTATTAGTTATTTTTTTTTAAAGAAGAGACTAAACCATGAGAAGGGAAACAAGTCGAGGCCCAAAATTCACAGGGCTAAGATCCAAGCAGTGGAAGTCCAGAAGTTACTTTGGAACATGCAGAGAGACATATGAACAAAAGTCCTGAGATATGGCCTGACCAAAGGCCAGTGAGAGTGATGCTTCACTGGCTGCTGCAGACATTTCTGGTGCCTTTTCCTCTTCTCGTACTTTAAGGGGAGTGTTTTCACTGGGTCCTTACATGTGGATGGGAACTGAGAGAGGGTAGAGACTTCAGGTAGGACAATAGATAAGTTAGTTTTGTCAGGGAGGATTTCTGCATCCCTTCTATATTACCTCATCCTCCACTTCATCTTTTGCTTTTGTGTTCGTATCCTCTAACTCAGTGTCTGACATAGTAGGTGTTAAAATGCCCATTGATTGATTGTTTGTAAGACTGTCCATAAAACAAATTAAGACATTCGAATGAAGATTTTTGAGAGATATCTGAGAAAACAGGATCGTCCAGGGCTGACTTTAAGTTAGGGTTAAAAATCATTGAAATTTTATGATCTAAAGAATTGGCTAATACTCACAGGCTTCCTTCTTCAACTTTCTATCTTAGGCAAATTTTACAATTTATCAGCATAATCATCCACTTAAGACTTACTCCAATGTCTCATTCTGATGTCATCCTTCAACTGAGACTGCTGTCTCTTCA